GGGGAGGTGTGGGCAGGGCCGGGGAGAGCAACAGGAAGGGGTGTGGAAGGACACACTGGGACAACTGTAAAAGAACAATAAAGAAACAATATTTAAAGAGAGAGATGAAGGATAAAAATCTTGTACCATCTCTAATAAATTGAAAACATTTTGAGAATAAATTAATGTATTATATCAGAGTCCACATTTATGTTTCATTAAGGTAAAGTGCTGTGATTACAAATGTATATACAGATATACATACACACATATATTTACATACTACCTGTACTAGCTGTATTGAATTACAAAACAGGTTGATATTATCATATTAATTCTTCACATCTCTAGTCAAGAAGAATCCCCATTAATTTAGCATTCCAGTACTAAAGAAGAAAATAAACTTCAAAATTTTAAGTGCTATTAATGAATTCATCTCCTGGATAAGTTACATATCAGCTATTCAAACATTCTGCAAATGAGACTTTTGAATTATTATTGCTAATATAAATTACCACAAAGTAACAGGCCAAAATCCTCTCTAAAAATATGTGTAGTTTTAATTTCCAAAAAGCCAAGTAGATAAAACTGAACAAGCTGCAGTTATATGTGCTAGACACCTTTCAATGCCAGGCCATATTCTAGAACAGAGTATTTTAAAATGTATAAGAAATAAGGAATAAATACCATATGATCTCACATGTAAGTGGAACCTAATCAACAAAACAAGCAAGCAAGCAAAATATAACCAGACATTGAAAAAAAGAAGAAAATGACAGTAACCAGAGGGGAGTGGGAGAGGGATAATGGGGGAAAATAGGGGAAGGGTTGGTCATCAAAGAACATATATAAAGGACACATGGAAAAAGCCAAAGGCGATAGGTTCGAGGGTGGGAGGCAGGGATAGACGGGGCAAGGTGGGGAGTAGTGGGGGAAAATGGAGACAACTGTACTTGAAGAACAACTGAAGAAAAAAAGAAGGAAAAAAGAGAAAAGTTTTCTTTGAGAAAGAAAGAAAATAGGGCCTTCTGATTCATTTTGCTCCCTTGCCATAGGTCTCAAGCACATAGTGTGTTTTATCTTTGGTACTGCCACACATCGGGTCTCGGCCTTTTGGCTAAGATCAAGTGTGGTACTGCTGCAACCTTTTTTTTTTTTTTTAACTTTATGTTTTACACTATTACAGTTGTCCCCATTTTTCCTCCCTTTGCCCACCTCCACCCAGCCGTAACCAGCCGATTGTTTTCTTTTCTCTTAAGTCTCCCTAGCTTTCTCCTTCCTGTCTTTGAAGAAAAGTATACATGGTTTTCTTATGTTATTAGTCCCCCAGGCAGGCCTTCAGGGAATAACAAAATAAGGACACAAGAATTTAAAACTGAAGTCTTGCATGGTTCTTGGAATCATATATTCAGATTCTAATTACTGAGTTTCTTGCTGAGACATTAAGTAGAAAACCAATCTGACTTCTAACTTTGCTTTAATTCCTGAGAGTGAAATTCACCAACTCTATACTCTTCTTCTAATCTCTACCTTCTGAACTACTGCCAAACTATTTCTATCCAAGGCCATTATACTGAGCATGTAAATTTGAGATTATTAACAAGAAGTCTTGATATACTAAACTTTACTTCCTAGTTGGTAAGTTACCAGGGAAGTAAAACAGCCACAGGGGATTTATGTTTAGACAAGTCTTAGGATATACTGACATATAGTCTTCATGGCAACATTGTTACTTAGGGTCATAGTTGATTAATGCTACTCAATATTTTAATTAATTACATAGGTGGTACACTGATGATCGAATTAGCAAGTGATATAAAGCTGGTAAGACTGACAGTAAACACTGCTTGATAAAATCAAGATCAAAAAAGATCCTAACAGGGTAGAAATATAGATCTATTTCTGTAAGATCTATAAGTCTAGTGGATAAATTTTCCAGATATAAATGTAAAATTCTATACTTCATTTTGAAACAGCAATAACAAAGTATAAGATAGGAGAAATATGATTTAAAAGCAGCATGTGAGCAAGCACTTTTTTAGCTGTTATTTTTATGACTGTAACCTCAACAGAAGAGAACAATGTGATGCAAGTGCCAAAAAGTTAGTTCAGTCTTTTGTGTGTTATTAGAAATAAATATTCCAGGAAAAGGGAGAGAATCATCTTTCTCTGTTATGGAATGGCTAAATCACAATTAGGACACTATAGGAGAAAATTCGTTAACTAAAGGAAAAGTTTGTCATACAAGAAATTACCAAAGAAACTGGGGACTCTTACCCCAGGAGAAGAAAAAAGTAGCATCAATATGACACTGAACTTCAAGTATGTACTTCAAGGAAGAAGTATTAGCCTTGTTTTGTTCTTGAGAGATACACTATTAAGAAGAGTACTAGTGAGTCAGTTTTGGTTTAATGTTAGAAAATTTTGTGTTGATTAGATATATGGAATGGGCGTTTTATATTCATGCCTATCAATGTATAAAATATTACATGACAAAAATGAAGAATTAAAGAGATTAGATGAGATAATGTGTGGAAAACACCTGAAATATGGCAAACATGCAATGAAAAGGAGAGAAAAAACTGCATGAGTGGTTATACTACTTTTTCTAATCAAAAGACATTTACTGAATGTCTGTGATATCCAGACTTTTGAAATTCCTTTTAACACTGAGATTATGAAGAGAAAACAGTAACGACAACAAAAGAGTAGGGATAGAAAAACTACAAAGCTAAGGTTTGAATCCAAATCCCCTCCCCATACATAACTGCCACTAATCTACCCTTAAAGAAGTCACTTAAATAATTTATAACTTTCAATATTCTTTAAAATAAGCAGCAGCATGGTAAGTAGAAGGTTAGATAAGCAATCTTTAAAGTGCCTTTCAGGGGGGGGGGGGGGGGGGGGGGGGGGGGGGGGGGGGGGGGGGTGGAAAATGGAGTGGAGGAGTGGATAAAATTTTGGTTAAAAAAAAAAAAACGAAAAAATTATTTTTTTTTTTTAAAGGAAAAGAGGAAAAAAGAGGAAGGAAAAAAAAAGGGGGGAGGGGGGGGGGGGGGGGGGGGGAAGGGAAAGAAAGGAAAAAGGGGGGGGGGGGGGGGAGGGGGGTTTTTATAAATAAAAATTATTTAAAAAAAAAAATAATGATGAAAATTTCAGATATTACCTTAAAAGTAATGTTCTACTATCTAATATTATTTAATATATTTAACTGCCCAAGAGAATATTGGTATGTATAAGACATTAGGTTTTAGTGTTCACTACATCCATAGCCATAAAGCTGCACACTGTTCTTTACCTCGTGACCCCACCACCCTTGTCCCTGCGGACTGCTGATGCTGACCTAAGCACAATTATGTGTGTGAGTTCTGTCTACCAGGAGCCCTATACAAAATATAATCAGATTCTCTTTTAAGAAATTTGCATACAAGACATTAAAAAAGTACAGCAGAAAGAGGATGAGCACAGTTTAGCCAAGACCTCATTTAGTCATGTCTTAAAACAAATAGCTTGAATGTACTTCCATACCTGGAGGGTCAGTCCCTACAACTGAATCTGAAAAACACATTCCAGTGTTCCATGAAACCCGGCCGTGTGTTTGCTGGGACTGTTCCTGTCCCCCAACCCCACCCCTTACTTCTTGGTGTACACTCAAAAAAAGATCCCATTAACTAAGATATCGTGAGCCTATCTATGTTCACTACAACTAACTAGTAATAATTACTAGAGGAGTGCTGGAACAAATCGCGGCTTTTGACCTCTGTAATATGGAATCTTACCAGACTGCTCTTCATCCTGTGTTGAAAGGCAGTCCTTACGAGTACAAAATAACTTTTGTCAAATGGATCCCTAAACTCATTATGAGTAATTTTTAAGTTTCTTGAGAGAGTTAAATTTTACGTGAAGAAATCACAAAGCTGCTAGGTTAATTATTGGGGCAACAGTGTATTGTAGAAATGACTATCTCAGAGGTAAGGAGCCAGGATTCTAATATCCATTTCATTCTAATATTTGAGGAATGATATTTGAGAAGTCTGAGCCTAAGTGATCTGAGCCTAAGGTCATACCCTTTAAAATTAGAAAAATATTGTATTACCTGCCTAAAGGTATGACCAGGTGATTTATGAGGCATTTTCCACCTCTAAGGACAAAGATTCTTGACTAGATATGCAAGCTTCCACTCTAACTCTATTCTCATTTCCTGTGGCAAGGCAGCAGCACAGACCAAGCACATACCCTAAGATATTCCAAATCAGAAACAGACAGCAGCCTGTTTTAACATACTCTGATTTCATAAAATCCTGATTATAAAATCATTAAAAATAAGTAAAAAGTGTAGGCAATTGTAGGAACTAAATGTTATCATTGAGTATACTAAAATGTTTTATTCTTTTAAATTTAATATTATGGGGTTTTTTAGATTTTATTTATTTATTTTTAGAGAGGGGAAGGGAGAGAGAGAGAGAGAGAGAAACATCAGTGTGTGGTTGCCTCCTGGGCACCTGGCCCACTATGCAGGCATGTGCCCAGACTGGGAATTGAAGCAGTGACCCTTTGGTTCACAGCCCGGCCCTCAATCCACTAAGCCACACCAGCCAGGGCTAATATTTTGTTCTTAACTTACCACAAAACAGTAAAATTGCATTGTGAAACAAAAGAATGTTAGAGTGTTTTATCTTTTGTTATGACTTCATTAATTTGCTTTTTATCTAAGAAGAAATTTGCCTTTTGTAGTGCTTCCTGCTCACTATGTAATAACATTACTACAATTTTATTCAGGTGGCAATTAACTTCTACTTCCCCCTTGTGATTTTTATTCCATTTCAAAATGTCTCTGAAGTACATCTCATTAAATTTGTTTTAAAATAGATATGTAACACCAAAAATAATTTTGAGAAAAATAACCTTTTATCAATACCCTGAGAAGCATTTCTTCTATACATTTCAGTTCAAGAATACAGATAAATGCAAATAGTCTCCACAAAGTCATGCTATTTTCAACTGTTAAGGTAAGGACATACCTCTGCTTCCATATGATAAGCATTTTCCACTCTTCTAATATCCTTTGTTACAGTTACATTTTCTGCCTGAAACAGAAAGTACAAAAGTATAATTACTAAGTGTTTGACTATTAATGGAATTACTCTAAAACAGAGATTTTCAACCTGTGTGCAGTGGTACACTGGGTGTGCCACAAGAATTTTTAAAATGTACAATACCTAACTATTTAGTCAGGGGCACTGACCTCTTTTTCCCTTAGACTGTCAAATAAAAAAATAACAACAGCCAACACATCAATAGTCATCTGGTATGAACGAATCAAATTATACCTATTTGTCAGATTGGCAAAAAATATATTTTTACTTTAGTTAATAGTTTGTGTGTGCCATGGGATAAAAATTCTGTGTGCTGCAGAATTTTAGTGGATAGTTTGTGTGAACCATGAGATGAAAAAGGTTGAAAATCACTGCTCTAAAACATAAAGTAGCAACCTGAACCTATTAAAATCAAAATGACAAAGCATGCAGAAAGAACTGGTTTGACTGATGTTTTAAAACTTTCCTAAGCAACAAAATAAATGTAGAAGCCTATAAATTGTTGCTAAAAATTTTATTATAATTCCATTTGTAGTAATTTTTACATTAGCTTGTACAAAAAGTATGAACCTAGGGTGGTATGTAAGTGAAGAATTATTTGTTCACAAAACATTTGGAATGTTATAGGACTTAATTTTTAAAATGTTTAATTTACAAATAATTTAATACAAATTTACTAAATTTCAACAGTATGCAACTTTGGGCGTTATTCAACTTTTTTTTTGAGCCTTAGTTTCTACATTTATAAAATTAGGTTAATACCATGTACACTACATAGAATTGTTTTGAGGATTTAATGACAAGTTGTATATAATGTGTTGGACACAGAGAAGGTACTAAGCAAATGTAGATGCTATCCTATTATGATATAAAAATTTCCTAAAATACTGGACCCAGATGAGTTTGTTTTTAGAAAATATTAATGCTTTTAATGCTGATTCTCTGGGTAAATACAGGTACACAATTTGGATAAAAATGTTCAATTTATTTACTTTTCTAAAGGGTTTTAAAATGTACTGAAATGAACTCTTTACCTACTCTCATTTTGGGGGACAGGCAGAACCTATGTTTTACAAAATTTTTGTATCCTTCAAAATATATTCTAAATAAATAATAAAGTTTATTATGCCCAATAATGATTTAATTATAAGTTATTTTGTAGGGCACTTAGCTGCATCTGAATTTTAAAATATAAACTAAGTTCAAGCAGTTTATATTATCCAGAAAATTTGCAAAATCTTTAACCCAAAAACTTGAGCTGAAGTATCAATTATAGCTGTGATGTCTGTCATTATCATGAAAATATGTATGCATTTCTTATGATAGAGATAGTAATTGCTCACTGTAGATAATTTAGAATAAGGATAAATATGAAACTGTACTGTATATATTTCTTGTAATCAGCTTTATTCACTTGATTAACATGGAACTTTTCTGTCACTTAATAATCCTTTATGACACATAAATATATCTTCTATTTTTTGGGATATCTCCTTTTTTTTTTTTTTAAACTTTTTCCCACTTCACTTGATAAATACATAGAAAACTTCTGACTGAAAAAATTATCAGATAAATAATTTTAGGAAAGGTAGCTGGAAACAAAATATCTTTTATTGTATTTAATCATGTTATTGTTGCCAATTAAAGAAAATCTAATACTAGAGAGGAAAAAAAGACAAAGAAGAAATAATATTGTCTCTCAACCCCAAACTCCATTACTATTAGCATTTAAATAAACATTTTACTGATCCACTTATCCACGCATATAAATATATCTAGATCTATGTATGAGTTTTTTCATAAATGAAATTATGTTCTACATGCTCTTCTGGAACCTACCTTAATAAATTTTTAATTTAAGAATAATTTTAAATTTACAGAAAGTTTACCAGGATAGTACAGAAAGTTCTTATATACCTCAGTTTCAGATTTCTCTGATGTTACTGTCTTATATTATTGGGAACAGTCCCGCCTGGTTTCAGGGACTGTAGCCTCACTGACAGGCGAGAGGGCCCCAAGGCTGGAGCTAATCAAGGAGGCCTTGGGAAAACAGGCCACTGAGGAGAAGAAACCTGTCCCCCTGGCAGGGGCTGAACATCACCCTCACATCACCCTGCTGGGCTCTGGAGGATGGCTGGTTAGTCAATGACAGGTAAGACCCCTCGACGCCAGGGGCAACCTAAGACAGGCACAGTCACATGGGGGCCATCAGGGAAGGACTTGGGGGACATGGAAAAGGGGCAAAATACCCTCACCCCTCAGCTCTGTCATGGCCAGAGTCCTCATTCTACCTGAAAGAAGTGTCCTTATCTCTTGGCTGCTCTGCTCAGCCACCGGACCAGGTCAGTGAAACTATTAAAGGCAGGTATAGCCCTAAACTGGATCAGGCAGTTCCTGGGGACAATTAGGCCTGGCAAAGGAATGTATTAAGTCCTATGAAACTTACTTTGCTAAGAATGCCCTCAAGTTAATGAGTACTGATGTTTGGGGTCAAGCGTAGAATGTGATCAGTTTCCCAGGTTTCAGGGTTGAATGTGCACCACCCTGTCTACCAGTCCCTGCCCTGAGGCAAATCTCTGTATTCCTTCAATTGTTATCTATGATCTCTGTTTTCTGTAAATATATCCTTTTGACATTGATTGATGAGCATTGCAAGCATGCTGTATACCCCTGTGTACACCATTATCAATAAAGGCCACTTCAAGAGAAGGCCTCGGGGCATTCTCCACTAGAGGGAATTGCCACCTCCTTTTCCTGGCAGACCGAGAGTGTCTAAAACAACTTATTTTATTTTCTTCCATCTGCAGGGGGACTCTGTGCAAGACGTAGTACCCTTCATAATCACTGTACCATGACATATCTGTCAGAACTGAAAAACAAACACTGGTACATTAACATTAACTAAGCTCCACACTTTATTTGGATTTTACGAGTGTTTCTATTAATGTTCTTTTACTATTCCAGGATCCAATCCATGACACCATATTGCATTCAATCATCATGTCTCCTTTGTCTCCTCTGGTCTATGGTAGTTTCTCACTCTTCTTCTTCTTTTTTTTAAATGACCTTGAAAGTTCTGGTCAGTTATTTTACAGGATGCCCCTCAATTTGGGTTTATATGGTGGTTTTTTATTATGATCAATTCAGGATCAATAGAAACAAATATCACAGAAGTGAAATGTTCATCAAAACACATGATGCGGTAAATGATATACACATGACATTAATCTTGATCACTTGTTTAAGAGAGTGTCTGCCAGGTTCCTCCACTGTCAAGTCACTATTTTTATTTTTCCATGCTTTATTCATTGAAGGCAAGTCACTAAGTTCAGTCCATATTTTCTCAATAAATGCTACATTATGCATTTTGTTGCTCAAGTTGTTCTAGCTATGGCTATTGGGAATTCTTCCAGGCTGGTTCCTATATCCCTTTGACATACTCCCATCCTTTTGTTTTTTGAGTGCTTCCTTACTTTCTGGTGCAAGTTGCTACAAGCTAATGTTGCAGCTTCCCTGCCCAGCCTTTTCTCCAAGAAGCTTAGTATCTTTGAGACTGGTATTTAGAACTGAGATCTGGGTGTTGAGACTGCTCATTGCTACTAGAGTACTATTCCTTGTAGGCCTTCTCAATGAACAGAGTTTGTGTGTAAATTCATGTATACTCACATATCTACAATTGTTTCTGTTATCTGTCCATCTGTATATAAACTAAGCTACACATGAGTTTCCATCTCTAACTTAGCCAGAGTTCACTCTAACCATCCTTTCTTATCTGTAATTTCCAGAAGGTATCCAGGCATGTAATATGAAAAATAGAGCCATTTATTGAAGAAGATACAAGATACAAGAAACACTGTTCATAAGACAATGATGCCTCAGTCCCCTTCAAAGTAGGCAGCTTGGGTCCTCACACAGCTCTCCCAATCGCCATCAGTTGCCCCATCACATTTTCCTGCATCTCATCAATGGTCTGAAATCTCTCCTTTATCAAAGGTGATTTTAGTTCTGGGAAAAGCCAGGAAGTCACAGGGCTTTATATTATATATAAATTTATATGTATAATTATATATTTAAATAGATTTATATATAGTTATATATAAAGTTATATATATAAAACATATACATAAATGTTTATATAGTTATATATAAATCTATTTAAATATATAATTATATATAAAAACATATATATAAAAGTTTCAGAATTGTTAACCAGTATCTGGTTGGTAAATAAATTTACCAACTATAGTGTTTATGTATCTTTCATCTTTATCCTTGGTGTCCAGACAAAACACTATTTTCCAAAATTACTTAGGATACTGCTCTCACCCTTTCCCCCATGTTGATTAGTTATGTCATTTATCTGTAATAGAGTTAGGTTCATTTGTCATAGTCTGGATTCTGTTTGGAATTGATCCTTATTTTCATGCTTTCTTAAATTTACATTCAGTAATGTTTATTCGTTGTGATTTGCAGATCTATGGGTTTTGACATATGCATAGTCAGTATCCACCACCTGAGTACCACACAAAAGGATTCTTTCACTTGAAAAGTTCCTCTGTGCACCCTCTTTAATAAAGTCGATCACTTTCCTATGCAACAACCCCTGTCAACTACCAATTTGCTTTCTGCCCTATGTTTTTTCCTCTTCCAGAATGTTGCATGAGTGGATCATAAAATATAAACCTTTTAGGTCAGGCTTCTTTCACATGTACATCTATGATTCATCCATTGTGTTCTGTGAATCAATAGCTTGTACCTTTTTATTGCTGAAGTTTGTTTATCCATTCCCCTGTTGAAGACATTTTGGTTGCTTCCAGTTTTAGTGATCTATGAAAAGGCCATTATAAGCATTTGTGCACTTAATTTTATAAGAAACTGTGTCTTCCAAAGTGGCTGTACCATTCTGCAACCTTACCCACACTGATGAAAATTTGTTGCTCTACATCTTTGCCAGCATTTGCTATAATCAGTGATACTGGATTTTAGCCATT